AAGACACTGCACATTTGTAAAGATAAATTGTTTAGAGATAAATGCGTCAGCATTTTTGAATAGGAATTACCGTAAAAAGTGATATAAAAACGAGAATAAAAACATTATTTTGAACAAGTAGTCATATTTCTTAGCATTACTGAATAACTAAAAACAAAAATATAAATTAAATAGAAATGGTTATAGCACTAGTTAGTAATTTTTTTATTAAAATGCTTCTCACATTAAATTTTTTTGATATATTTGCTTGATTTAAAAAATATTTTAGGGGAGTTTAAAATAAATATAAAAAAATTCTCATTGTATCGGCCAAAGCAAGAAATAATTAAGCAACTACCGCTCTTGGCATATCAATAAAATACTCGCACAGAAAATAATGAAAAAGAATAAAAATATCTATAATAACAACTTTTCTTCGTAATTTATGTCTAACATCACGATATTCCTATCTTCTAGCTTTTAATAAAGTGTTGAATATTTATGAAGAAAAGGAATCAGCCTTTTTCTTAAACTTTTAAACAGGTACAAAATTGATTGATATTTGAGAATATATTAGCTTTTTATGTGATGGTTCTAAATATATTAGTTCTTAAAAATGTTGCTGGGTAATTAGATGACTGAACGAAAATAAAAATACATTTTTAGAACATTCAAAGTTTTATCAAATAAAAATATTTTTAATAATGACATCATACAATAAACTGAGAAAATAAAAGTATTATAAAAACTACCGATATATAATGAAATTTATTGTATTTCAGGTTCAGTAGGAACTCCAAAAAGCTCGGTAATTTTTATCGAAGGACTTTGGTAATTAACAATGAAATACAGTTATATATTTTGTGATAAAATTTGGTAAAGGTAGTAAAATTTGGTAATTTTATTATATTGCCTCAGAGTATGGCATAAAAAACATTTTATTCGGTTAAATTTAACTTTCTGTTTCGCATTTTTTTTCCAATTGTGTGGCAATAAAAACTATAATTTTGAAAACCAGAAAACCGGTACCATATGAGCGGAAAAAATAGCAAATAAATGGTTTAAAAACCGTATACTTCGGTATTATGGACCAGAATTGTATTTTTTTACCTGAAGTGTAATTTCTAAACAGTACCGTACCAGACATTTTCAAACAGTGCCAAACAGTAATTTTGACAGAAATTTATAATCTGTTAAAATCGGTTTAATATTTTTAAATTAATTTAATCCATGTAGGATTAATTTAATCCATAATCCATTTAATCCATTTAATTAATGTAGGGAAACTAATTTTTAAGACATTATAAAGTACTCTCTAATTAAAGCGATTGTAAAGCGTAGTTGCTTTTTGAAAAGAAGCATCCAATTGAAGCGTATTATAAGAAAAGCTATGATCAACCTTGTTACAACTTTTTTTAAACGTAATATAATTTCCGAGTGTTGGCACTAATTATAATTGGCACTAATAATATTTATCGATGGTTTGATCCTCTGAGACTGGCATTGGAAGAGTTTTTTAAAAGTTAAGCCGAAATAATTAAATACCCGAAGAAATGTTATAATATAATGTCTCAAAAGAAATGTTAATTTATGTTATTCTACTGATAAAAGTAAGGTATTTATCTACTAATAGAAAATAACAAATGTAAACTGAAATATTTAAATGAATCAACCATAAAATGAGAATCAACCAAAATTGAAACTGAACTATCTGAAGACAATTCTATTATTCGCTCTTTGTTGCTTGCTCTTCTTTTCATTATTTTGCAACTTTTTCATAATGCGCCTTTTCTCGATTTTCTGTTTGAGAAGAATATCTTTAGAGATCCATGATAAAGAACGAAATCCATGATCCATGACTCCATAGTTTTAACCTGTTTTAGCATTCATTTTCTAAAAAAAATAAAAAAGCACACTAAAATAGAAAGAAAAAGTAAATAATTTTTATATCGGGTTTAGTAAACTAATATAAGTATTTAACGAAGTGCTTTCTGTACACTGTAAAAAAATCCCGGATCAAATTACACGGAAAAGTACCGGGACTCAGGGTGCCAATTCTCTTTACCGGAATATTCATTTTTACCGAAAAATTTGATGAAGCAAAAAATCTGATTAATCGTAATTTTTACAGTAATATGTAACGTAAAATCACTCAATCACTGTAATTAAATATTGTAAAAATTACGGTACAAAACTTTACTGTAAAAATAGATTCAACGGTAATGGATTTTATTATAATAGATGTTATTATATTAAATTAATAAAAATAGTTTATGGATTAATAAATACATTTTATGGATTTTATTATGATAGATTAACAAATATATATTATGCCAGTACTTTTTCCCGAATTTGATTATAAATTTTTTGCAGTATACATGTTAATGCCAAAGTCGACCCATTTCCAGATTCCTCAAAACTGTTTCTTAGAAGTATTTGCATTCTGGTTTTTATTGAAATCAAGTCATCACCCAACATAGAATTTAAAATATTCACCAGAGGAATTTTTTTAAAAATTGGAATGCGATGTTCTGTAAAATCAAAATAAATTTATTTTTAACGGCTCCCTTTACCTGGATATCAGAGGAAAGCTTTTTCCAAAGAACTATCCCCAACAAGCCGTAATTGATTCCTTCAAAAGATCCCACATCAGGACTGGGTTGATTGATTTTGTCAAAAAGATTTACAACTTGAGAATTCAATTAAATCGAAGAGAAAAACAAAATGATCACTTGGATGATTTTTCTGAAGATAAAATGACTTTAATTTAGACCTCTACGATTTGATTCGTAAGAAATGTAGATTGAGATTTGTTGTCAAAAATTTTTTTGTTAGCTTGTTCAACTTTCTATTTACTTAACATTGTTTTATCCTTTGCCTAAAAACCAATACTCTTTTTTCGTCGGTTTTGGAATTTATAACTTTCCTTCTTTGACTGATTTGAATAAAAATTGGTTTTAAGAGTCACGCTTTATGTATCTCGGATTCGGCCAGCGAGGAATATATATATATATATATATATACATACATCGAAGAGCCATTACATTATGACCACCCTGCTAATAACATGTAGGACCACCTTTAGCCCTTAAAACTGCTAGCACCCGCCAAGGCATTGATTCCACAAGGTGCTGATAGGTAGTCTGAGGTATCTGGTACCAAGCGCTCACCAACTGGTCCTGAAATTCCCTCACATTGCGAGGGGGTAGCGTGGTAGCACGAATTTGGCTTTCCAAGTAGGACCACAAGTGCTCTATTGGATTAAGGTCAGGTGAATTTGGGGGCCAAGACATGACTTGAAAGTCACTGGAATGTTCCTCGACGATTCGACCCTTATGACATGGTGCATTATCCTGTTGGTAAACACCATCCCC